GTTCGATGATGTTGTAGAGCAGAGGTTGTGGAGGCTCGTACAGTGCTGTATGAATGAACTCGGGGTGCTTATTGACCAACTACGCCTCATCTCTCTGGACATCGTGGAGAGGGCAACAGCGTGGCGAGATACTAGAAAGCTGTGTATAGAACGTGTGGCCAAAGGTGGTGGTCATGCATGTGGCTTGGAGCACTTGATCGGTCTAACGTACCATGGAGAAAACTATTTGATAAAGATGATGTCCGACCTTGCTTTTCTTGACAAATCACCTGCTGCCAAGCACTATCTCGATGGTGCTAGCTGCATGGAGAATCCCTTCGTGTTGCCTATCAATGACAGGCTTCTGGAAGCTAGGTGTCTTGATGCTGTAAAGCGCATGCAGGTTGAGGTACGATGTGCCACGCTGAGTGTGAGGGCACAAATATCACCGCTACATGGGACATTGAGATCAAATCAGTCTGCTACGATGCCAGATCTCAGGAAGTGGGACCCAGCCGCTCTTATGAATCGATTGCACCTAATTCCTACCCATACGAAGATTGGTGCTACAGCCCTCGACAGGGGATTGTTTACTGAAGGCGAGCCAAGCATCAACGGTGCCGGAACGAAGTTTTCTCGCATGGGTGGGCGCTACGCAAGCCACCTGCCCCGCAGCTTTCATTCACAAAACAGCGACAAGCCCATTGTTTCAGAGAATTCATCATCTGCCAGCCAAGTGCCCGAATACATGTTTCTCCGCAGAATGCTCAAGGGTCGCATTGAACCCAAGCAGCACGTGAAGCTCAAACCCGTTGTTGGTCTTCCTGGAAACCCTGTCTGTGGCGTTCCTATCTCCCGGTCACCGCCCAGCGCCCGGGAGGAATTTACTTTCGACGCCTTTAAGGACGCTGCCGCTAGTACTATTCAATGCGCAGTCAGAGGCGTCCAGTGCCGTAAATACACCCCCCTCACGCAGCGCAATTTTGCCTCAGATGACACCATCGAAGACTCACCTACAGCTATCATACAGGCCTGTAATAATGATCAAAGGAAAGCCAGATTAATCTGCGAGTTTGTTGGTACTACTACTGATAAACAAAGAAGCTTGCGGTTGTCGAAGTCGCTTTCAAACGAGGCTACTCCGCGTAAGATTTATTCGACAGACAGGACTTCGGCTCGTGACTTGCACACCAATCCCTCGACCGAGGCCAAGCCTCCTGAGTATGTGAATCATAGCGCCGTCTCAGATGAACTTGCAAGAGAGAGGGGCGCAAAACGAATCCAGGATTTAATTCGATCTCTTATTGGGCGGCGCGTGTCATTTAACGTGCACGAAACTAAACGCACACGCACAGTGGACGATGCAATGACTCTTTTCCAGGCCCACATGCGTGGCATTGCAAGCCGAAACACAAGTTTCCGCGATCTTGTTGCTGCCAACGCCGGTCGCAGACGCACGAGAGTTGATGAGGCTGTTGCCACCGCACTCGAGCGCGCAATTATGGATGAGGAGTGGGATGGCTAGCCCGGGTAAGTAGCTGCGTGTTAGACCAGGGCCT